ATACTGGATACAATAACAATGGTATGTGATGAATATAGACTATAATTAATATACTTATTTTACAGATGGTCCTGATGCTGATCCTACTATGCAGTTCTCTCTCATCTCCAGTAGATTAGTGGCTACCCCTCCAGCCTTTATTCTCAGTTTCAATGTCTCTGATGGTCCTCCTACTAATGTCAGTTGTTCAGTGAATGGGAATGGAATATCTACTGAACTGTCTCGTGTGATAGTGAATGGACCAGGATCTGTTACAAGAGTGACACTAACAGTGAGACTGAGAGAAGCTGGTAACTATCAGTGTACTGTATCTAACACCAGGGTCACTGATGGTAATAATGGTGATATTGGAGGTGTTCAGGCAACTAGTACTAACACATTATTGAGTATATCAGGTTTGTGACATTTACTGTTTATATACTTATAGTCTTTCTCTCAATCAGTATCTGATACCCCAACTGGTTTAACTGCTACAAGATTAAGTACTGGTTTAGCTCATGTAAGACTCTCCTGGCCTACTGTATCAGGAGCTACTGGTTATGAGGTCTACTATCAACTGTCTAGTAATACTCCTGTTAGTGTAGGCACTACTGCTTCAACAACAATCAATATAACATCAGGATTGTTTCGAGGGATTACATACACTTTCTATGTAGTATCTTATGGATCAGCTTCTCTGCCTAGTGGTAATGCTTCAGTAATCTTAAAATTTAGTAAGATATCACATAACTATTAAATTAACATCTGATATGTACCTGGTATATTATTTCAGGTGATCCTGTTGTTAGTGATTTGATGGCTACAGTTATTACAACTTCAGCCATTATATTAACATGGAGTCCACCAACTGCTGTAGTACCAATTAGTTATGAAATTAAAAGGAGATGTAGAAGAGTATGTGAATCATCAGTCACTAGTAATAGTGAAACATCAGTTTTATCACCACATACTTCAACTGGTATACCTCCTTACAGTCAATGTGCCTTTGATCTTATTGGAGTGTATGGATCTCTGAAAGTTTTTTTGACTACAAATTATTTAGCTAATACACCTTCAACTGGTAAAATAATAATCCTTAAATTTTTGAAAATTTTTACCATTCTTTCTCTCTAGCTCCTACTGCACCAGTGGGTGATATTATATTCTCATCAGTAGAGTCAGTGTCAATGACTATCTCATGGGATGAAGTACCTTGCAATGGAAGGAATGGTCCAATCACTGGATACTACCTCACATACACTAACATCACTTCAAACACTAGTTATACTGTTAATAT